TAAGCAGGGCTAATTAGCATGTTGTGGAGTGGCTTCTTAAGTACACTGGCTTTAACACTGTTTTTCACTCTGTACCCCAGAGAAAGCCTGTTAAAAGGGAGTCTTTCTTTGCCTGGATCCTCACCATTGTCCTCATTACCACTTATTTAGAGATCTACTGTGATATCTGAAATTAAATCTAAAATTTGACCCATATAACTCTCCTACAGATCTTATAACCAATTTGATAAATTAGCATATTATTTTCACAAATGATTCAATCAGTATTCACATGAGATATCATATTAAGATAGTTTTAGAATGATAAGTAGGCTGATGTTAATATTAAATGTAATAGTTTTGCTATACTGATACTGAATTCACATGATTGCTATATTTGAAATGATTATTAAATTACATTGACTTAACTGTGCCTAATAATGAAGCTTGAGGCAGGATCACTATCCGTACTAATAATTCATATATACAGTTGTATACAAAAGTTTAGGTTCCCCTGGTCAAATAACATGTTTTGTTCATTTTCTAAGTGAAAAACGAACATGTCCTCAACATGAAAAAAACCTCTGCACATTTTAATGCACAATTACTGTTTATTTGCTCAATTTAACAACAAAAAACCCATAAAATGTGGCCTGTGCAAAGTTATAGCACATTTTATGTTATATGTTTTATTCTTTTTATAATATATTGATAATACACAAAACATGTACACTAAAAATTGCAGAAAATGGCATTTTTAAATAAACTTATTTTCACTTAGAACATTAACAAAACATGCAATTGATCAGGGGTGTTCAGACTTTTTCAGATGACCATATTTTACCTTAATGTTTACTGAATGAAAAGGTGAACAGTATAATTTCCACTTTTAGCAACAATGAACCATCAATAAGCCATATCTATAAACATTACTACAGGTTTGCAGTCTTAAAATGCAAATTAAATCTATCTGAATTCAGTTTGTGGCACTTCGTTTGCAGTGTGTTATTGTTCTTACAAGTTTTCAGTGAAACTAGGTCATACTTACATACATTCACACACACAGACTTACTGTATCTGCATCAGGCATCTTTACTGTATCAAGACGGAACCTATTAATATTTCTGTATCTGACTGTCTGTGTGTCCTGGGAGTTGTAGTGTAGTAGTGAAGGTTTTGTGGAGGAGATGGTGGCATAGACACGGTCTGTATTGAGATTGTGACAGAGACAATTTGTGTAAATAATTCTCTGTAATCAAATGTGACTTTTCCTGTTTTGTCTGTCACACTGCTGGAGACCCAGAGGGCCTTTAAACAAGCCTGCTCACAGCTCGACCTATTTTTTTATGCACAGTGCTTTCCGCTTACTTACATCTGGATTTATGTTGAGCTGCATTCAAAATGTATTCATCCATGGTGGATTCTGCCCATGTTGTTTTATCACACTGTCAAATAATGCCCTATTTTTCCTGTGTGAACCTGATTCATGGCCTGGACCATTTCTGTCTTTCAGACTATGCAGGCTGTCAATAAAAAAATGGATCCAAAGAAGACTTTGCAGACGATGCAGGACTTCCAGAAAGAAAACCTGAAAATGGAGATGACTGAAGACATGAGTGAGTAGTACATATTAAGTAAATTACTTGTTATTATATATTTAATCTGATTTAATCTTTTTAACCTTCTGAGGCCCGCTGCTGCAAAATTGCTACATTTGTTTAAAGCACTTTCTTTATGTCTGGCTTATGTCACTACAATTACATCTCCCAGCAGTTCACACTTTAAACTGTATCATAGCATTGTGGTAGAAAAAAGTTAAATTCTGAATTTAATAGCATAACAGCATGCCAAAGTTAAATAAAAAGGTCATCCATATATATATATACATATATATATATATATATATATACATATATAAAATAAATAAAAGCATTATGGTTTTTATGTCATCAGTGCTTGGGCCTCTGAGGGTTAAAGAATGTTTTAGAAAGAGTAGCTTCATTGTTGCTCGTGAACTTTGATCTTGTTTTATGAATTTTGAAAAGACTTCAGTTTATGAAACTGTGAAGTTCAGTTCAATTCATTACAGTTAAATTCAGTTCAATTCAATTCAGTATTAATTTTAGTTCACCATAGCTCACAGACGTCTATTAGAGAAGCCATTGTGTAGATTTCTGTCATATGTAATGGTTCAGTTTATTGTTCTGACATCCTCAGTCAACGATACCCTGGATGAAATATTTGATGAATCGGGTGATGAAGAGGAATGTCAGGACATTGTGAACCAGGTGCTGGATGAGATTGGCATTGAAATCTCTGGAAAGGTAAGGAACTAACTCACTCTGTGACTCTCATTTCTACTAGCTTTCCATCTGTCTTACATGGAGCCCACACCCTAGCTGACTTTTTTGTGGAGCAGTTCTGGCAGATGAGTGGCCTTTGGCTTTGCCTTTGGTTTGTGGCCCGCCCCTTTTCCTAGCATTTCAATTCGAACAGATGTGTGATGTGGTCCCTTGGGCCAAAACAGATTTGTCATATTGCCCTGCCCCTGTTTCAGAGCTAGGCACCCCAATCTTTTCTGCTAGTTCTGTGGAACAAGCAGTGATTATGTATTCTTTAAGTGTTGTTCTAAACTCAGAGTTTAAACTGAATGGCGAGACAAACAGCTGTGCAGTTGCTAGCAGGTGTTAAACTGTTATAACTCTCCTGATTGGTTTTAATGCTATTGTGCAGATGGTGAAAGCCCCTTCAGCTGGAAAGAGCCTCCCCAGTGCCTCCAAGGCCAAGACAGCCACCATTTCCGATGAGGATATTGAGAGGCAGCTGAAGGCCCTGGGAGTGGACTAAAGCACTACACCTACACCTGTACTCCCAGCACCACCAAGGGCTTCTTCTGCAGCACACACACTGCCTTTACTGTCTGGGGATGGGGAGGAGCGTGGATAGATAGCTAATAAATTAATGACATAAAAATGTAATTGTGATCTAGTTTGTAAGACCACAGGTGCTGTACATAGTGTCACTGTCCTGACAAGGCCTTGTATGTCCAAAATAGTGTCTTTTATTGTAAGGTAACAAGATTTTATCCCAAGTAATTCTGAACCATTTCTGTTGGTCTGTTTGTCAGGGAATGTCTACACAGTGTTAAGGGAAACCATGATGTAGAAAAATGAAAATCTGGATGGTTTTGATGTGACAGTGACAATATCACAAAAGCACAACATGGTATTGGGTATAAATGAAAGTCAGGGAATGAGAAAAGAGACGACTGACTAAAACTGGGCTCTCCAGTACTATATTTTCTTTCTTATTCTGTATCATTCCTTGAAAAACAGTCACCTCTGCGGTGTGCCGAATGGCCAAGCTAAATAAACTGTAGGCTTGTAATATAAGGCTTTTATCTATTGCTCTGGTAACAAAGTATAATCCTTTTAAAATACTACAAATGTAGCGTTGTTGTGTACATGATGCTAACTTTGTGGTTAAAGTGTTTGGAAGTGGCCACTTACTTTGTTTACATGAGTTTTCCAAGGGCTGTCTAAGAGTTCTCCAAATATGCTTCATTAACTGATATAGTACTCATTCCAGTTGTTCTTTATCTCCTTGTAGCTTCTGTATCCTGAATACTGAGATGAGAGAGTCTGTAAGGGTTTGGTAAGCATTTGTCTTCTCATAAGAACCTCTTGCATGAATTTTTTGAATGGCATTGTGAAATTCTCTCCACCTTTCAGTTATGACACAATGACTGTTCAGCAGTTTTGCAGGATAGATGATGAATGTTATTAATTAACAGACCAATTGAAATCGTAATTTAGACATTATGTCTGCACATGATGAGCAAAGATGTAAAGTTGTCATGTCAGCAATACTAGCTCAATAGCTCAACTGAGAGGTCTTTAATGGAGTGAAGGCACACAGGTGTTTGAGAGACGAGAAAGCCTAGTGTCAGCTCTGGTTAATTATGGAGTGTATTTACTGAACACTGTGTTTCAGGTGTTGTTATCATACATTATGGTAAAGATCTGTTACTAGGCTGAAAATTCCCGATGCTGGCCAAACAGATAAAAGAGTGAAGCTATGACCATGGCCAGTGCAAGAAAGGGAATCGGTGTTGCTGGTGTGCCTCACATTCTAATGCGTGAATTCTTCATTAGCTGAAGTGCAGTTACTTTTGAATCATGGTGTGTCCATTGAATTGTACTACTTGAACTGTAAAGGATGCAAAACTCTAACCTCATTAAATTCTGCTGTAGCTAGTGCCAGTTTGGCAAGGAGCAATATATTTCTATCTTTCCTTTGAACCTGATCATTGTGTGAGTCTCAGCATGTTTTAATTTAAAGTTAATTTAACGTTATTATTCTCTATCTTATCCATTATGTATGTGAATGTACAGTTTTATGGGTTCATTTGGTTTTGTAATGAATAAAAGAATTCTTCATGTCTTGTGATGCATTCCATACTTAACACCTCCCAAGTTTCTGTGAATTTATCCGGTTTGAGCAGAGTATGATACCTCAAAATGTAAAACCGCTAGAAGCACCCACTTGCCCTTTCAGGTCATTTTAGATTGCATTTAGTTACAGTTCATTGTTCATAATGATAAGCAAACATAATTTTTACATGAGGTCTTAATGAGTTTTTGGAGAATGACCTTGCCTAAATTAATTAATGTGGAGCCCATTAATTTTGAAATAATGGTGTGTGAAAAGTAGAGTACGACTTAAAATCATTTTATCAACAGGCGAAGATTCCTCCTGAATGTTGTATTAATTCCTTCCATACATACAGATAAATATATAGCCTGATTTTTGTCCTTTTTTTAAGGGAACGTCTCTTTGTTTATATTTCCCCTCATCTCATATATCAACATATATTCCATCATTTGGGCAAATTAAAATATAAATAATTCAACAATAAATAATGCTTTGTTGATGCAAGTGCTGGCAGGATATTGATGATGGTGTAGATCATGAACCAGTATCTGCTTGGTGAAGTTATGAGCACAGGTGAGAGGCTTTAATGTATTCCTACACTCAGGACTAGAGTGATACAATAAATATTCCACAGTAAAACCCAGCAGGGACAGGGCAGAGCAGCATGTGCCACACACCTGGAGTAGTAAATTAGCATTTGCCTCCTACGTTTGGGATACAAACGTCCCTCCACAACTTTGTTGCGTGCGTTTGCTTGCTCTCCTTTCCTGTACCATGTGGTTGTTAGACTTGCAGGTGTGATTGTTCTGTATAAAGTACTGAATTCCACTGACTACCACACATTTATCCCTTTCTATTTTCTGCAATGACAATGCCACCATCTGTGCTTCTGTATTTATTTTGTGTTTGTTAAAGGTGATAAGGAGAGTGTTATGACCAAACCTCACAACAGTTTTTTTTAAATGATTTTCTTTTGTTTGCTACAGTGACTATACAATGACAAAACAATTTTTCACAATTTTGCTTTATTGTGAATCAATATATTACATTTAAATTATGTTTTATTCCAAAATGTTCTGATCTGAATATATTACCTCAAATAACATTTGAACATTCATTTAAAAAATTATTTTTCAGGCATTTGGTGGAATAAAAAAGATTTCTTAGTAAGATAAGTAGCACTCAGAATGAAAAAGGAGAACTCCTTCAGAAAAATAAATGATACGAAAATGTTATGATAGTCATATTAAAATCTTTTACAGCTTACATTGTATTACTTTTTTTATACATACAACACACAGTACAACACACGCTCCTGCTGGTGAACGAGAACTTATTAGTCCAACCTTATTGTCAGTGACATTGCTTGGATTGTCTGTGGTTTGAAGACGTACTTGGGCCTGAGCAGAACAGCCTTTAAATGAACATGTAGCAGGTCTACCTGCAGGCTGGAGTTTCCTTGGCCATGAGTGAGCTGTGGTGTAGACTGGTTTTCACTCTCTTCTCTCTCTGTCTGCGATTGCAGAACCAAACCCGAACCACTTCCTTCTCTAAGTGAAGCCCCTCCGCCATGCGCACAATCTCCTGTGACGACGGCTTACTCTTCTCCACAAAGTTCCTCTCCAGTGCTTCCTTAGCCCCCAGACTGAGGAAGTGAATTAAATATACATTTCTGCTGCATAGCGCTCTGAAATAATGAGGTCAGAGATCTCTACAGAGTTCATCTTCATGTTTACTGTACCTGATGGTTGTTCTTCGTTTCCGTTTCCGCTCCTGCATCCCCATTTTCTCATTAAACAGAGCTGTGGAGAAAGTTCAGTTCAGATATACTGATCCACAGGATGGCAGTTTTTTTCCTGATCTGCTTTGTATCCAAAGTGCATGGATATTGCCTTGGTCCCTTCAGAATAGGGGAGAACCAGGTTGGTTGGCACAGTGTTAATTTCCAGGGCCCAGGTTCTCAAAAGCACCATAGCATTAAGATCATCTTAACCAGTAAAGAGAGAGCTCAGTGTGAACCGTTTAAGAATCATATTTGTGCCAAGATGCTTTCGGGAACCCCCCCCCAGTTCCGGTGGGGGACCTTTCATAAAAATGCAAAAGATAAAAATGATTTCCATCTTAACTAACATTCATCCATTTTGTTAAGATCCCTAAATGTTACAATCTGTTAAGGTGGGGATAACCTTTTTTCAACTGTATTTTTCTGTGTTAAAACAGAACAGACAAAAAAATCCTCCCTGTGAAAAGACATCATAGAACTGTCTTAAATATTGACAATGAAAATATATTAATATTAGGTAGTAGAAATGGCAATCAGCTATATTTAGACGTGTTGAAAGTCAAGGATAAGTAATGCTATCAGGCTAACATGAAGTAAATACAGAGTTGTATCCTGATACAGGAGGGGTTGGGTGGCATGTGTCAGCCTGTCCAAATGTGGGACTATTGTTACAAACATATTTTACCTTATATGCTGTACACATGCTCAATAACATACTAAATAACATGACTAATAATAATACTGTACTCTATCACTGATTATATTAAATTTTCATTAAATTTGTGATAAGTTGTTTTTACTACTAAAGCTATAGGCCATTTGATAAATGATGCTATCACTTATCAAGATGAAATTAACATCACTTCAAACTTAAACAATTCTTTTATTTAATATGAATTTTGTTTAACTTTATGCATTTCCATACCCTGACCAGACACTGCCAGAAGATCATTTAGAGTGAGACTGAGGGCAAGGGTGAGCTGGTTGTTGGTTATACTAAGAACAATGGTTAATTCACTAAATAGGGAAAATGTTTTTAATGAATTGCGATTTTTAAAATAGGTAAATGAATAAAAATATAATTATTTTAATTAAATTGTTAAGTTTGTTTTTATTAAGTTTAAATTATTTTTATTGTTCTTCTCACTGTCTTTTCAATGTGAGACAAAGATAAAACACATTCTTATTGAATTGTTTTATGAATGTTATTTGGCTGCAATTGAACATTTATATTTATGGTTTAAATGAAAAGCTCTGATTATTTCTATTTGTTGCTGAATTCTCTGAAACGATAGCCTTTTAACATTGTGCCAACCATCCCCATAATGTGTTAACAACCCCATATTGGGGTTGGTTGTTATAAATGTACAAAGTCATGAATGCACTAATTCCAAAATATTTCCTGAAATTGAAAATGACTGGTTGAGATGTTTGACTGTCATTTGCTGCTAACTGGGTTTTCCTAACGCGCAGTATGTCTGTGATATACGATAGTGAAAAGTGTGCTTTCCTCTACTCAGGACTATGTGTAGTGACCATATGTTGTCATCACAAAGGAACATAAAAGAAGGAATAAAGAATATTTCTATTATTTCTATGTCCACTCACCTCCAGCCTGCTCAGCCTCTTCCAGCCACTTAGCCAGGATGGACTTGAGCTTGCACGCATTCTTGAAACTTAGCTGCAGGTTCTCAAAGCGGCAGATGGTGGTCTGACTGAACTCAGAGCCATGCACAGCTGCCAGAGCCTCTCCAACATTAGTCTGAGTGTAACCTGTTAATATCAGAACAGAGTTTATGTCTTTGTTGATCCTTTCACAAGGTCAGTATTGGCATTAATTACTTATGTGATTTAGCTTTTTGAATACTTCACTTATAATCCAGCATATTTGCCATTTTCTAGAATGCATGTACTTATGTTTCACTTGTGCAGAGTTGCTTGTACTATACTCACTGGCCGTTTTATCAGGAACCACAGAGGTATGTTTTGTTGGTATGTTTACAGTTACTGAATGAAGCCCATCTGTTGCTGCACAATTTATCACCCCCCTCTCACCATTATATCAACCAAAGGGCCACCGCTGACCAGATATTATTTGGTTGCTAGATCATACACAGCACAGCAGTGACACCAACACAGTAGTGGCATGCCAGTGGGTGTTGCACTCATACAGGTGTATCAGGCACAGCAGCATCACCAGCTAGTTTTTAAACATTTTATAGTTTAAATAAGTAAGTAGGTTGTCGAACATATTATGAACTACATGTCCAAAAGTTTGTAGACACTTGCTCATCTAGCATTTCTTCTGAAATCAAGGGTATTAATAGAGAGTTTGTCCCTCTTTGCTGCAGTAACAGCCTCTACTCTTCTAGAATGACTTTACAGTGTGTTGTATGATTAGTTCTGGATCACAAACACTAATCCAGCTCATACCAAACACAGTTAATAGTGCTTCACTACAGAGAACACAGTTCCACTGCTCCACAGCCCAATGCTGGGGGGCTTTATATCTCTCTAGCTGATGCTTGGCACTGGATATGGTGACTTTAGGCTCATGTGCAGCTGCTCCAGAGCATATCATTCTAATGCTTTTCTATGAAGATTATATAAGCTGTGTGTGCACAACTGAACACCTGTGTCAGCAATGTGTGCACCTTGAAGTAGCTGAACTCACAAATTAAAAGGTTAGTCTGGATACTTTTGGACACACAGTGTAACTGCAGTAGACATCAGTTGGACAAACCCAGTTTGATCCTCCTCAGCTTGAAGTCATTGGCAAACTTCTCCAGCTCACGGATCTGGGGTGAATCCATGTCGGGGGGCTCCTCCGGGGGGCGGCTCTTCCTGCGCAGCTCCTGCTTTATATCCCCTAGGCTGGGTTCGTCTGTGAAAAGGGCCTGGGGCAATGGGGGGAAGCTGTGGGACAGAGTACACGAGCCCCCACCCAGACCATGCTCAGGGAACTTATACAGGCATGGAGCCAAGGCACCTTTGGAGTTAAAGGGACAAAAAGAAGAGATGGGCAAGGATGATTAAAGGCATCAGCCACTGTGCCAACAAGGTCACAGTAAAGACCACATGTTTGTGATCAAGGAATTTTTGAGTATGGTGCATTATTTAACTGGCAATCTGGCAATAAAATGAGGTCATTAGCAGTGCTCTACAACAGTTTTTGTGAGTTTAATATTGCACCATATGCTAGCCAACATTAGTCAACAAGTAATGTGAAACATATCTAATTTGAGGGCACCAGTGTTCTTGAGTTTGGCACAAAAGAACAGGTTTGTGCCTCCCCCTTGTGCTTCAATTAATGTACTGCATTTTGCCCCTATTTTAGCTCATTTTTTATTTTTTCATGTTGCAGCTTCACCATGCTTGTATTCCAGGCTGTAGACACTGGGGGGCAGCCTGTTCACACTTCTCATTGTAGGGCAAGTTCTCAACTGTTTGATAATAGAGAGCAGGGATGTTCTTTTCCGTGCTATACCAAGGCAAATATCTTTTTACCAGTGAAGATATTGACACTTCTAAAAGTGTAATTGTGCACATAGAAAGGTGAATTTATTGAGATTTCTACTGTGAAAACCAGTAAAAGTGTGGGCATCAACAACTGTATATAATAGTGTAAATCAGACGTGTCCAATCTTATCCATAAAGGGCCAATGTGACTGCAGGAACGTGTAGTTTAATGAAAAGATATATTGTCAGTTGATCACTTAAAGAAAACACTAAGAATGGATCTTTTAATTTGAGGACTGATTCTGAAAAAGAACTGTCAGGATCAGAAGTATTGATAGTTTGATGCGATCCATCAACCCCCTATTTGAGGGTTTAAAGGGAACCCTGACTGTTAAGACACATAAGGTTCATTATGGTGCACATGTCCGATACTGATAAAAATACAATGTTTAAACCAAGCAAAATACTTCATTTATTACTAAAATTAGAGCAAGTTCTTTTACTAGATGGTTGTGATTTTTGTGCGGTACCAAATTAAGTTATGAATGGCAGGCTAAATACCCATTTTAACTCTAATAAATCATTTCAGCCTTTCCACCATTAGCTATAGTGTGACATAGAGAGAAGAACGTTTAGATTGTCTTATTTTCAGTAGAACTGTGTTCACTTTAGCCATATGACATCATCACAATGTGACAGTGAATAAAATGAATGAAATTGTGTCCTGAAGTGAGCCACAAGCGCACATCCTAATCAATAACATCATGTGAATAAACCATGTGCATCATGAACAACAACAAACTAACCAGCAGAAGAAGATTTGTGGAGAAGATAATTTGCTCTAAACAGCTCTCAGCTGTTTATCATTACAGCACGACAAAGAAGAAAAAGATGCTTAAATTGCACTGTTTACTGGTTTACTGGTGCCAGCCCAAATCTGATTTTTGGCATATTCAGATTGTATCCAGACTGAGTAGCACATAAAATCCAACTTTTGCAAATTGGATTCAAACCACATTGGAGATGGTTTGAAATGTGATTCCAATCAGTTTTTTACAGATGTCTCCCAGTCTGGATGCTCTGGCAGCTCAAATAGGATTTCAAAGTGTGCTTGCGTCACTCGCAACATGACAAACAATGACGATATCAAATCCAGAGTGATGGGAGAGCCAGGATTTAAGAACAGCGCCACAGATTCATGCTTATGCTAGAAAATTTTGTAGAGTTTGGAGGGCGAGATGATGCACTGCCATTTCTCCTGCATCCACGTTTGAAATCTGCATCACCAGCATAGCACACAAATCCAGTCTGATCACTTGCAAACAGCAGTGTGGACAGTTGTCTCAAAAGATCTGATTTGAAAAAGAAATCTGATTTGCCTGCAGTCTGAACAGAGCCTAAGTGGCTCCACTCTGACCAAAATCAGACCTATGACAGCCTGGATACACATTGCATGAACTTGTGTTTCATGTCTGGAACATATCTGGATACTTTGGCTGGATTCCATTCAAACTTTTCACTAACCTGTGTCCCCAGTCCCAGTGTGGCCAGATAAGGTCAGATTTTACTTTTCCCAGTTAAAAAGTATGTCAACACATAAGCTATGGCATTTCTGTGTTACTTTTGTTTACACTTTTCCCTGTTATGATACAAGTCGAAAAGATCGGCTTGGATGTTTTCATCAGCCAGGAGAGCAAGAAGGCTCTTGGCTCAGGACTAATTGTAGCCTCGCGTATTCTCCATTTTTCATTTCATTGTTTATCCTCTCACCTGCTAGCCAAGATTGGCCGACATGTTTCATGTAATTTCGTACAAATAACAAAAACGTATTCCATTTACACTTGTGTGAAATGCAGTCAATATCCATCTCTGACCACCTCTGAATGTGGTTTGAATGATCTGATAGTAATCCGCTCACAATGCATCCTGAGACTGTTTACACCTGGGTTTTCATGCGGTGAAGTAAAATCTGAAAGTCATCTGATCACCAAAACCAAATGTTGACGCAAGGTGTTAACAGGCCCATGAAACTTCCTGTTAGTTATTGACTAGTGACTGATTATTTTGGACAATGGTACCACCAGAAGGTTGTAAGAAAACTATGAAAGGGCTAATTCCTTACAAGACACAGATTCACACAGTCAATCTGTGATTCTGTGTAAAGTGCATTTTGATGATTACACAGGTGAATGGCCCACTTAATCCGCTTTTTTATGGGCAAATTGTTCTACCCTTACCATGCCCAGCTCCGCCTTTGTGCAGTCTGTGGTCAGTACTAGTTGGGGTGGGTAGGTCTGGTCCTAAAATTTGACTGGACATGTTCAAAGACGTAAAATAATTTTGATTACACTGTCAGATGCAGTGAAATCGTGAATATATCATTGCAATGCAATGTTTAATGCAGAAAGGTTTTAATTTCATTTGAATAAGAAACCTGTATTTATCCAATTTACACTACTGCAATTACGCTATAGTTTCCACCTTATGGGATTCTCAGCATTATGTTAGCACCATGATAACAGTGGTGCTGTACCAGCTGTACACAGATATTTAAAGCATATAATTTATAAGCTTGTTACAGACATTCAGGTAAGATATTTATACGTCTCATGTAACGTCACTGTATGTACTGTACAGTGTACAGCCACCATTTTGATGATCGGCAGAATCAAAATATGTTCAGTATGAAAAAAGATTTTGTTTTCCTGTGTAAGCTAACCAACATGGCAATGTTTAGGCTAATTACTTCAATGTTTAAGCAGCAATATCACTAACATTAACATTTGCTGTAGAAAAAACACCTAAACTGATCTGATAAACATTGTTGCTACACAGAACCTTGCGGCCTGTCCACACAGTTCACTGGCTCAGCTGCCTAATGTTAGACAACTAAACAAACCACACCAGTTTTTATTTATTGATACTCTCAGTACCACTCATGCATTTTTTCTTCTTTAAATGCGTACCACTCGCTGTGTCAGCAGGTTCAGGTTTACACAGTGCTTGGGGATGGACTGTGTGTAGAGCTTCATATATGACTGAACACATTACATTTCAAGTTTTCAGCAGATGTTCTTGTGCGTGAGGAGTCACGCAAAAGTAGTTTTATCGGTATAACAGCAATTTTAGTGTTCAAGTCTGAACAGTTGAAAAACTCCGGCCTCCCCTGTGTTGGGCAGTGTGTCCACTGACTGTTAAAGGCTTTAAATCAGAAACCAGTGGGAACTATATATGAACCAAGACCAGTTATTTTAGTTTTCAGGCCTGATTTTCACTTTTCTCCACTATTGCTGTCATTGAGGCAAAGCAGAAGACAATCTGATATGTGTCCAATATAAGGCTGCTGCTTGAAAACAGTCATGTGATTGAAACAGATAAATATGATGAATGTCCAGAATGTGTTTCCTGCCTTCTGCCCAATCAGTGCTGGGATAGGCCCCAGCAGCTCCAGCGACCCAGGAGGATAAGTGGCTTAGAAAATGTGTGTGTGTGTGTGTGTGTGTGTGTGTGTAAGTAAATCTTGTCATCTTCTGATTATATTGTAGTTGATAAAAGTGCAATTCTGTTGTGAAATATAGCGCAACTGTTCTGGATTACGTAATGGTGCACACAAACAATTCAACTTCAGATGCGACCTGTAGTTAGCTGGACAGCTTATTTCATTAGTTTATTGCTGTAGCTGGGAAGGAGCTCTCAAGTGTAATGCTGCAATGTGTGATCTATTGATAGGTGTTATTTTTTTTAGCCTCCCACCCACTATTATTACTGGCTGTCATTTCCATGTTGTTCTTTTGGCAGGATATTGTGAACACTGTATTTGAAAACTAAATATATTACAGTATGTTGTCAGTATATTTCACCATCAAAATTGAATATATTTTGACATATTTTCAATGTGTTACTTTTTTAATGACTGTGCCAGGCTGAAGCTTGTACCTTGCAGTGAGTTGGCTCCATTGACCATGTTGGGGTGCGGAACGCTGCAGGTTTGCAGGATGCGGGTTTGAGAGATGCTGGCTGAGAGCATTTCCTGTGCTGGGGACAAAAACCTACGCTGTCATCACACATCAAACATGCACACGTGCGTACACGCAAAGAGCAGCATTGATTGATACCACTCAAAGCACTGAGTCACGAGTCCTTCTGAAGAACGCACTGACGTAACTGAGCAGTGAGGAGGCTCAACACACCTGCCATCATGCCGTAGGTGGTCTGCTGGTTGCTATAGTGACATGGGGGCATTGAGTAGTGCAGGCCGGCCGATGCGTTGCTGAGGGCAGACGTAGACAGATGCATGTGAGAGCGCTTGGACGACTGGACGAGGGGCAGACCCGAGGGAACTGTGGACAGGAGCGCAGGACAATGTTCATGATCTTATCAGCTACATCAAAGCATAAAATGACAGGAAGAATGACAGTCCTACCTTGGGAATTCTCAGACCAGAATAAAAGGCCATCACTTTTATTGATTCTACATCCCTAAAAGAGGCATAGAGTCTGCTGTATTGGTGCCAGAGAAGAATGAGCATCTACATTTCTTGAGTCATAGAGTCACTGTCATCTGTCCGTTCAGTGTCCATAGATGTTGGTGGTGACTGTGAGACCCATGTAATGTAGACACTTCTTTTTCTGTAACACCAATACAGGAGACTCTATGCCACTTGTAGGTTTTCAGAATTAATAAAAGAAGTATCTACATTACATGAGTCATACACTTGCTGTCAACATCTGTCAGATTCAATGTCCACAGATGTTCACATCTGTCCACATTCAATACCACTGATGTGTTTGCGCTAGTACTGAAAATATGTGCCAACATAATGAAACTACTTGGTCAAAAACATACAGACTAAAATTAAGGTGGCAGAAGATTTCCGACAGGCACTGTCAGGGGAACTAGTGTTATTCTCTTGCTGCACATTTACCCTTATTCTCTTACTTTCAAATATATTCAATCAAAGAAAATCTCTGCCTGTTTAATCAGAAGATTTCCATCCACCGCATGCCGACTTTGAGTGGAATTCTATTGAATTAGGCCTCCCACCCATAATCTTGTAAAGATAATCTCCATTATTTGTTCTTTTCATCTGCTCAGCATGAGGAGGCACTTTAGATATCAGCATGACAGGCAGAGTCAATGCGTTATTAGATAACCAGGGCTCTTCAAAATGCTCGGGGGAACAGACGCACACTCTGACACGCTTCCCTGTTCATCATAACGATTTGACATGCACTCACAGGTGCCACTGCCTGAAATAAAAGTGAGTTAAACGAAGGCTTATGTGTGAATAGAAATGACATAACATCTTGAGAAATACTACACATCACATCATCTGCTTCAGTTCCTGTGTTAAATCATACAGTTAAGTAATTGTGCCTGAGTGTGTAAATTTATTGTGCGCAACAATAAGAGGATAAAGAAAAAATGTTCCATTCTCTGAGGTTCTCAGGGAATTTTTGTACATGTAAAACATTAATACAAAGAAGAAATGCTAATTTAGCTATCAACATGTCAAAATAATAACATGTCTGGTAGTATAATTGCCCAATCTGAAAGTAACATCTGTGCAAATGGAGCTTATTAGACATATCTGCATAATCTTTACTTATTTAAATAAATTATCATTTGTCATTTTATGTTGGTCTCTGCTGTCTTAGTTATTGAACACAACATTCTTTTGCTGCAGTGCGTTAGACTGTTGCAAATGTGTCATAAAAAAGTGATGTTCTACAGTACAATCCAGTGTAGAAAAATAGAGCCAAAGGAGAACATGTAGGTAAATGGAAGAACATTGAACTGAAAGCAATGTAACCTTATACATTTAAGCTTATTGTCTGGCTAATGATAAAATGATCAATATCAGAACATTTAATCAATAACCCAGACAGTAATGTAAACATACATAGCAGTTGTCTGTGAGCTTGGGAGGAGTAGGAGAAGAAGCTGAGGGTGATGAAGAAGAAGAAGGAAGAATTGTGTATATGTGGTCAGCAGAAAGGTCATGGCTTCAAAGTGAGAGTGAGACTGAGAGTGATGACAGCAGCAGGAGAGTAGCATGTCAGAGATATAGGGTCACAGCGATTCCTCATAACCAGCCAGATCACATCTCTCTCTCTCTCTCTCTCTCTCTCTGTTGTCAGATTCCAGCTGCCAGGAGCCCTTTGGGAAAACTCACAGACAGCTGTCTCTATTGCCACCCTACCTTAACTTATAACAATTCTCTTGGTCGTCGCCCACACGGGAGTATTCTGTAAGACAAAATATGCTAATTTTCTTTATTCCTATTCACACAAGAGACATAGGCCCTACAGTGAATAAAGGAGCCGTGAAAATGGTCGACTGCAGCAAAGTAATTAGACTGAATTAATCACAGCACTGGGACACCACCAACAAAAAGGAGACAGGAACCTTCAGGTGGCAATAAAACAGCTGAATTCTTTGCACTGGTTCTAATGATGATGCTGACAGGTCTCAGTTAAGAGTTAAATCACTTCATTTCTTGTAACTTTCCTTGGCTTTGTCTAATACAGTGGTCACCAACCTTTCCAAGCAAAGAGATCTACCACCCACCAACCAGAGGTTACCTTCTATCTTAATCCACCACACCTGATCCAACTTATTTTGCAACTTATTTTGCCTTCAGAATTTCTGTAAGATTCGGGTTTGAGGTGAAAACTATAGGATGACGACGATAACAACAATGGTGGTGAAGAAAATGAAAAAAAAAAAACAAGAAGAAGAACAAGAAGGAGAAGAAAAAGACAAAACCTAATCTGTCTAATACCTGTCTTCAAAATCTCTTGATCACCTGAATCAGATTTGGGCTGGTGGTGAAAATTGCGGAAGAAGAAGAAGAAGAAGAAGAAGAAGAAGAAGAAGAAGGCTGATCCAACTATTCACGGTCTGAGATTTGTGCTGAAGGTAGAAGAAGAAGAAGAAGAAGAAGAAGAAGAAGAAGAAGAAGAAGAAGGCTGATCCAACTATTCACGGTCTGAGATTTGTGCTGAAGGTAGAAGAAGAAGAAGAAGAAGAAAAAGAAAAAGAAGATGCTCAAACAAGTACACAGACTAATATAAACATTCAAAATAAAACAAGATATTAAAAAATTAAATAAAATAAAACAAAATACAATAAATGGAATAAGAGACAAAAGGCAGATATGAAAAGCCTGTGTGAAAGAAACCAGAAGTGATGAATATGTAGGTTTGCTTAGGTTCTGAGGAAACCGACTATTATTACCAACTATTACTTACAGAATAATATGAACATCTGTACAGTTGTGCAAAGATACATTGTGACACAAGGTGGAGTTGTGAGCAGTATATTACGGTCTAATACAGAATGACATGAAGAATCACTGGGTGTGTTGGAGAGTTTTGAATTTACCTGGCTGCACCATGTTGGTGGTGTGGCTAGTGACGGGTAGGCAGTCAGCAGCTCCAGGGTGGTGCATGAGCAGTGGCAGGGCAGAGTCTCCACTCAGCGTAGTGAAAGAGTCCGTACTGCTGAAGGCCTGGCAGGTCATGACTGTCTCTCTCTCTCTGTCTGTCTCTCTGCTCACCTGCACTGGGGCTCATGCAGCAGAACCAGCATCAGCCCACCTGTGTGACACACGCATGGCGTGTGCAGGTATTTATACCAGCCCCCCTCAGGACAGTTCATCCATGTTAATGCCTCCCTTCTCGGGGCTATTACCACACTCCAGCAGCCCTCGGCAGGCTCCCGGAGCAAAGCTCTGGTAATTAGGGCAGAGAGGGGTAACTCGACACTCTCTATTTTCATCCGGCAGTGAGGTTTCAGTTAAGGCCTGCCGCTGCTTACACAAATCCACTGTGATTGTTTACTGGCTAAGGATGTACAAAAGCACCCAATTATGAAATGCTACAAACAGGCTTAGTTTTTTTCTGCTTCTTAATTAGATATAGGTCTTGTAACTTCAAATATGACAATGGTCAGTAAAAAGTTAGAATAAATAGCAATGGTTTACTGATGGGCAGTGTTCATAAGGCTACATGACACCTTCATAAGGCCTTCGTGGTAGTTGACATAAACCTACATTAATGTTTATAAACACTTATTCTAAATAGGCATCATTTGTCATAAAGTTTGCATTTGCTTTGATGTCAAGTTGCCACAATATCTGATGATATTTAATGATTTTTATAAGACATTAGGTTTTGTTATGACACTTTCTGGGGTATAATGACAGAGACAATGTAACTCAGTGTATGTCACAGTGATAAAAAATTAATAATATGATAATGGTTGAACAAAACTGAGCATTTTTCTTACACTGAAAAATCTGGTGCTTTCATTTAAAGAAGTTAGATACCGGACTGCCTTAAAACTTCATTCAAAGTTCACTGAACTTCTAATAGTAAGTTAACAGAAAAAGAATCTGTGTATTACACTGTCAACTTATTACTTTTAGTTCAATTAACTCAAAATTTTAAGGCAAACTTGTGATTATTTTTTTTTATTAAAACACCATTTTTTACAGTGTAGGTTTCATTTTTGTTTTTATAAGATTTAGGCTTTGTCACACCATCAGCATCATGTCACTGTGATATGGACTAAGCTACAAAGTCAGTTGTTATAATGTACCATTACCCCAGTGTCATAACACAATCCAATCAAACCAACACAAAAAAATCAATGTGACCTGACACAGGTATTATGTCAACTTGATATCAAAGTTGACAAGAGCAATCCTTTATAACAGATGATACCTTCTGGGCAATGAACCTTCATTAATATTTATGTAGGTTTATGTCAGTTGTGATGAAAAGCTTATGAAGGTGTCATGTAGCCTTATGAATAGCACCCTACTGTGAAGTTTTACTGCATGAATATTCAAGTTTTAAAAAAATAAAAATCTAGAGTTAATGATTTAACCATTCAACAACAGCAATACTACTACTACTACTACTACTACTACTAATAGTAATAATAATAATAATAATAATAACAATAATAATAATAATAATAATAATAATAATAATAATAATAATAAAAGTGCTTTGACTGTCATTACTTCAACACTAGGCCAAGCCCAACATTAAGTCCAAGATTTTGCTCAAGTGCTATAATTTAACTACTGCACAACATTTCATGTGAGACAGCCTAGTTCACAAATCACAAAGTTCCCCCCCCACCAAATGTCAGTGACAAACTGTTGGCTGTTCTATTCAGTGCATTACATCTGTCACTGTCATAAGTATGACAGCAGAAAATCTCCCTGCAGAAAAAATAACCAATTACTGAAAAATGGTTTGACCAGGCTTTTTATGTGTATCCCATGCCATCTGGTAAGTGGATTACCCTGTGGGTGACTGTTATTGCAATAGTCCATTTGTGTAATTGTTGAAAACACAAGTTTGAGATGGTCTGATTGGGGCTAGTCTGGCCAGTGTAATGTTCTGACTTGTTCTGCCTGTAATGATTTTAATCGCAGTGCTTAAGAGAGCAGGTGACTGGCTGCACTCGTCTTAAGGCCACCCACAATAGGTCACAAGTGGTCAAGAGTCAAAGTATAGCTCTTCAGAGTCTTTGTGTTTATCTGGTACCTGTGTTGTCAACATCATTGCATGTAATTCTGTGCTGATGAATGATCATCATCATTTTCAGTGAGAGCATGTGTACAGTTTTTGTTCCTACCACACATTTAAAATCTGGTATTTCGAGTTAGTCATGAATTTTCTATTAAAATTCATTTTGGGCAGATGAGACATTCCTTTGTTGCAGTCCCGAAATAGCCTTATACTTCAAAGGCTTATTGCAGAAGTGTCCAAAAAAGATTCAGTTTGAGATAATAATGGGACGTTTCATTATAATATCTCCCCTTATAAGCCAGCACTGAATAACAACCCAACACTACACCAGATTTTAAATAAATATGAGAGCAAGAGTTACAAAGAAATTGTCTCAGATTCAGTAGCTGTAAATTAAATCAATAAATCTCACAATTTCTAATGATATACTCAAAAGAAATCTATGCTTAATTTATGAAACATGTAAACATCATTGATCATTGCCATTAATTTTATTATCATTTAATAACTATGGCTTTAACAGTCTTTAACAGGGAAAAGGTTTATATAGATTTTCCCAGAAAGTACGGTACACACATTGTATCAGTATATGACAATGCCATCACTGGTGTACAGTCAGTCTCTACCCTGAGAAAGGTGTTTAACTCCACTTAATTGTCCACTGCTGCTAGAGACTATAAGCTGTAAAGGGGCTTGCGCTCAAAGTCCCCTGTGGCTTAGTGCCTGCTTTTAAAAATAACACCTATTGTGAAAGCTCCCCGTGTGACAGAGAGTGATTTTTTATGCACAAAGCAAGCAGAGGGAGAGAGACAGAGGGACAGACAGATAGAGGACAGGAAGTGAGGGCACTTGCAGGCAAAGTCTTCGAACGTAGGATTAAGGGGACAGTGAAGAAGACCATTTCCCATGAAAATGGACAAAAGGACAGTGATTTGGGAGAGTAAGGTGATGTTTATTAGGTCGCTCAGCTAAATCCTTTCACACTGAGTCCTCATAGCCTGCCAGAGTAACCAAGCACGGCTGCACAAAGCCCCTGATCTTAATTACGCTGGGGAGCAGGAGCTGAGGCCTGGAGCCGTGCTTCTGCACCTGTTCCAGCCCGCTCTCTCTCCAGGTCAAACACACTCACACCTTGGGTTTTTATCCAGCCCTGCAGTGGGAACATCAGCAGCACTGGCCTTCTCACAGGTATCACAGCTATCTAATACCAAGCACATATGTACAGTACATGAATCAGGGGAGCACTTCTGTGTGTGTGTGTTTGTGCATTTTCTCACCCTTTTTTTTGCACAGTTTATTTCAGTACTGTTAAAAGCTGCTGATCCATGTATTACAAATGCAAATTATAAGCCAAGCACATTTTACACACCAATAAAAAATAATTAAAGAAAAAAAGACAATCTCTTAGCGCTGGATAAAGTTCACAAGGTAATTTAAATGGTGAGAAAAATATTTGAAAAATATCTTTAATGTTTTCACTAAAAGCAACTGCTGCTCGCTACTGTTCGTTGCCTGAAAATGAAACAAGTGGCTTTGGCTATGATAAATGTCATCTGAAAAACAGGCCACAGCTCGTGCACAAAGGAAATGGCAGCTCCCAGCTTTAATTTCTTAATTCATTATGCAAACATGAACTATTGCAGAGCTCAGTGTACTGATGAATATCAAGACGACCGTACGTTTAATTCCTAAAACATCTGCCCGGAGGGATCAGTGATTCGGATTTCAATGCATAAACAGAAAACAGTGACAATGAAGGTAATTTCATCAGCATATTCAATATCTCAGAGCATACTGAAAAGTTAGGCTGGAAACCAGGGAAGGCATTGCTCTCTTGTTTCCCAGGTCCACATTATCATTTTCATTTAATAAATGTTATTGCCACATGTTTGTTTTAGATCCTTAATCACATTTTGGTTTTTAGTGCTTGTGCAGCTTATATGGATTACATCTGTATCCCCGTGTTGCTCTGAGGTGGATATTAGTACATTTGTTAGATGCATTTGATGCTTTTCAATCTACGTATAAGTATATACATTTTTGAAAAAAAAAAAAAACTGCTAATGTATAATGGAAAACATGTTTTAGCTTCTCTAATGAAGGTGATATTAATCATAATATAGCATTAATATTTCTTCTTTGTGTAAAGCCCACTCCCAACCACATATATCACAAAAAAGAACATTCCTAAAAATTGGTCTGTGATGTATTTTGGATTGAAACCCTTCAATTGCTAAAAGACTGTTGTAGTACTTATGCACAGTGTAATAAATGATCTCTTAATTAAAGTTTTTGCACGTCTTAAGCTGTCTCCCCCACATGCTATTCTCTGGGTGTAATGATAATTGGAAGTAGAGTCTAATGAAAATATACAATTAATAAGTCAGATTTTCCAGTCATACCAAATCCCACACACTGTACATAATTTTACCCAACGGATACATTTGTTGCAGCTAGTGCTGAATGTTTAAAGCTCTCTGTTTACAAGCTTTAAATAGTAATCAACCACTGGCGAAGTTACTTATGCAGCTGGGAAATGCCTCATTCATTCCTCTTCCATTTTCATCATACTCTCTCTACAGTCTGAAAATGTTGAATTTACAAATCACTTGTAAGAGAACTTGAATATTTTGTCCCATTTTAAAAAATGACAAATGCAAGTTGATCTACTGTACCTGAATGTTCAGATGCTTCTTTGCTCATGTTAATTTCTCTCTGATCAGCATATATTTTAAAGCCACAGCCTTTGTAAAGACCTTTTTGTTTACGCAGATGGCACATTTCTAGTTGCCTCCAATTCCAACTGTTCTACCCCCATGCATGCTAAAACAGTGGAGGGATTGATTATGTTGTTTTTGCTGTTTATTGTCACTGATTGCTGCTTTTTGCATTCAGAGTTCTGTTTATGAGTTTCAGGAGGCAACCTGCCCTTGCTTTTAGAAAATTCAGAACGGGTGTTTTTCTTCAAACTGGT